TTCTATAACTTAAATTAACCCATTTCTATTAATCTATGTGCTGCCCCAAAGCTCATGGCTTTTACCTCTCCAGGATGTCATGTTTCTTTTCTGTCTGTCTGGTGACTCCTCTGACTTCCCACTTCTTCCCAGCATTCTCTCTGTTCCAAAAAACCTACCTAGCTATCGACCAATCAGTTTTGGTTTTTAGACAAGGTTTCTCTGTAGCTTTGGAGCCTGTCCTGGAACTAGCTCTTGTAGCCCAGGCTGGCCTCGAACTCACAGATATCTGCCTGCCTCTGCCTCCCGAGTGCTGGGATTAAAGGCGTGTGTCGCCACTACCACCTGGCTGGCCAATCAGCTTTTTAATAACGATGAGAGCAATATATATTTACAATGTGCAAAGATTGTTCCACACAACTGCCTACGTTCAAGGCGGGGCATGCCTCAAGTAAACCTTACTAGAAACATGGGCAGACATGCCCAAGATTTGTTTCCAAGGTTCAGATTGACAATCAATGCTCATAATTACAGCATTACACTGCAAAGACTCTTGCTCAACCATGTTCATAGCGACTTTCTTCATAGTATCCAGAAACTGGAAACAGCCTAGAGGTCCCTCATCCAAAGGGACAACCCTAAACTAGCCCTGCCCCTGTCCAAAACCTCCCATAGCCACTGCTTCAGAATCAGGTCAGACTTAGCCTGGTGTTGACAATTTACAGTGTGGAGCTGGCTCAACTGTCCCGACACCTCAGCACCCACCTTTCCTTCCCACCAATCCGGCTGGCCAGCCTTCCTTTCCCCCAGGCCTCTCCTCTTCCGTACCTCAGCTGAGGGTTCCGATGCCGCTGTCTCTCATTGCCCACTGAGCCTGCTGCATTTTTTCCCTTCTTCCAAAATCCAGCTCAGACATTCTCCTCCCAGAACCTTCAATGAAAGCTGCAGCCTCCTCTGTTTCTGCCCTATCCAGACCCTTCGTCCTCTCCTCCATTCTTCCTGATGGGATACTCACAAATGCTGGGAACGTCTTTGACACTGGTGGTCTGACTCTGCAGGGACTGGCTTCTGACTTTCAATCCCACCGTACCTCGGGTGGCCTTTTCCAGGGGCTGACACTCTAGCAAGGCAGCAGCGGGGAAGCTGGGCTTCACCATAAAGGGCAAACAAAAGAGAGTTTTATTTACTCTTATGCTCTGCCTAAGAATAATTCCAGAGTGCATTGTTGATTCTAGTTCCCATGGGCACTGGGAAAAGCACGGGGCACTGTAACATTGGAACATGGGCCTGGAAAATGTAGGGTTTGGGAACACTTTGAGATCCTTAGGAAGAAAACAAGGGTTGTGTGTAGGATCATAGGGGAGAATGTTCCCAGTAGAGGCAACTGGATGGGCAGAGAGCTAGGAATTGGGGGGGGGGGTCTTAGAGAACCCAGGAATGCGAACAAGAGCCCCAGAGCTAGTACCAAGGGGAGCAGAGGGAGCTGGGGTGCAAGCTATGTGCAAGGTCACTATATAGGACTTCATGGCCTTCCTGACAACTTTGATAATGACTTCTGTGAGATGCTAGCTTCAGTTTGAAGCTTGCAGATGGATAAGAAGGTAAGAAGACATTTCCCAGCTCAAACAACCAGTGTTAGGGAGGTCAGTCCTCAGAGTCGGTATAGGACGCTCCCAGACACCAAATCTCAGCACCAAGGAGACTTACTACCCAGGAAAGGGCAAGCAGGGGGTCAGAGGAGCCTACAAAGGCAGATGGCAGGCAGTAGCAACAGCAAACAGGTGTTTTTTGCTTTTTTTTAAAGCAAAAAGCAGGGAGTCTATGTTAGGAAGGGTGAGTTGGTAAATCCTGATTGGACAAATTAGCCAAACAGTGAATTTCGTTTATTTACTTTCTCTTAAGATTTATTTTGTTTATGCACATTGGTGTCTTGTCTGCAAGTGTGCCTGTGTGAGTGTCAGATCCCCTGAAACCGGAGTTACAAACAATTGTGAGCTGGCACGTGGGTGCTGGGAATTGAACCCTGGCCTTCTGGAAGAGCAGCCAGTGCTCTTAGCTACCGAACCATCTCTCCGGCTCCAAACAGTGAATTTTGATTGTTGGACTTTGATATTTGTCTCAAGAATGAGTCAGTGGCCAAATAATGGAATGGACCATGGAGGCTGGCTTTAGGAACGTAATCTAATGGTTTCAGTAAGGGACAAAGCATGTATGCCATGCTCGGCCAACTAGCATCCTTCCACCAGTTCCGAGTCCCATCTGGGAGAACGGACTGAAGTGAGGACATCTAAGCGTACCAGAGGTCAGTGACAGTTAGTCCTCATTGCCAGCCTGACAGAATTTGGAATCCCCGAGGTTACACACCCTTGGGTGTGTCTGAGGGGGCTGGCTTTCCAAGAGAAGTTTAACTGAGGAGGGGAACAGGTGGTAACTGTGTTCTGCACCATCACGGGGTGGATGGAGACAGGGAACTGAGCACACACCCCGTCTCTCTGCTTCCTTCCTGGCCGCCTCCCACTCCAGCCCCCAGACCTCCACTGCCATGGTGGACTGTGTTCTCCAACTCGGAGCCCAAATGAACCTTTCCCACTTTCAAGGCTTCCGGTCGGGTATTTGGTTACCACAAGTAACCAACTCTTTGTCCCGCCCTAGCTGGAGAGGGGTCACACATGCAGCAGCTACACACTCCCTTCAAGGGATTCATACATTGGCAAGAGGGTGGAGGTGTGTGAACAGACAGCGGCGGGGCCCCTGTGGCTGCAGCGTCATCGTCCGACTCAGTACCTTCCCCATCCGTGCTGGAAATGATCGTGGTAACTCGGGTGATGAAACCCAGGTACCCTGGCCTCCTCATGCCTCACCCATCCTCAGTGACAGCTGAAGCTTTGGAGCTGGATGAGTCTGGTTCTCACACCAACACCCCACTGCCAGGAAGGTGTGGTGGGAGTAAGCTGTTCACAAGATGTCATGGAAACCACCAGGCCACCGGATGTAGGAGGGAGGTCTGGGAGGGGGAGCCAAAGAGTGAAGGCTTGAAGTACAGGTGAAGCTGACAGGGACCAGGGTGGGGTTGGAGCCTAGGTCTGGGGGAGAACAGGAAGCATTCCTAGGAAACCCCGGCATACAAGGCAAGAGGATTCGGCTACAGAAAGAGAAATAGCTGGGTACTGAAATTGCTTCAGCCCTGTACCAGATCTAAGGGACATTAGCTTTAGTGCAAACCCAAAGTATCAGCAATCCTTCAAAGTGATTGTTTTAGTAAAATGCCCGGCATTCTTCCCTGGGGACAGAAGTGTGAACTAGGAAGTCTCTCGCTTTACAAAATGTTGGTTCTATCATAGAAAACAGTCATGAAAATAACGAACAGAGGCTGGAGAGATGGCTCAGTGGTTAAGAGCACTGACTGCTCTTCCAGAGGACCCGGGCTTAATTCCCAGCAACCACATGGCAGGTCACAACTGTCTGTAATTCTAGTTCCAGGAGACCCAACACTCACGGCAAAACACCAATGAATGTAAAATATAAATAAATAAACATTTTTAAAAAAGAAAGAAAATAACGAACAGTAAGGGACTAGCAAGGGAGGTCAAAAAAAAAGAGGGGATCCTAGCATCATTTGGGGATCAGGAAGACTTATAGGAAACCAAACCTGTGAACTGGCTACCTGCGGAAGATGGAGAGGGGTCCATCGGAAGGGTAAAGGAATCGAGGACAGGAAAGCTCCAAGCAGCCACACCTACACACCTACACTACACATGGCAGACGGTGATCCACTGCTAGACCTCCAACTCTAGCCCGTGTCTCCCCAGAATCATACAATGAGTGACGCACAGTAAGCGCTCAATAAGCGATGGCGGAATGGGTGCCCCTTACTTAACTGTCTTTAGAACTGCAGTGCCTGTTAATCGTATGGTCTTTTGTTTCCCCACTGAGAGACTAAACTTGAACTTGCGGGTCATGCTGACCACTCCACTGAGAGTCCCTTGTCTGTCTGGGAAAGGAAGAGCGAAGGTGCAGCCAGTCAGAAGGATGGGAGGGAAGCCTGGGGCCTGCACCTGGGGGCTGGAATCAGCACTCCACTGAAGTCTGCATAAAAGACAGCACGGGGCGAGGGTTACCTTATCACGGCCACTAGAAAAGAGCGACTCCACTCTGGATAATCCCTTGAATGAGAAAATGACCCTTTGTAAATGCCGACAATTTTAGGAACTGTAAGGGTATGACAGAGAGCCAAGCTGCTCACGCATCCTAGCAACCTGGACTTCCTACACCCAGGGTTCTCCTGGAGGACAAGCCGGTTATGTGACTTACAGTAACGCACATTCACAGTGTGACAGGAAGCATTCCTGTGTGCCCACAACCTCTTTAGGACCTGGAGGCAAAAGTAGCTGACACAAATGTGCCCAGGCTCATCCTGCCTACTGGGCCCTGAGTGATGGGATCCGGTCTGACTCAAGGGCATCCTGTCTTCTGTCAGCATCCAGGAAGTCAGCAAGGCAAAGAGCCTTCACAGCTCTTGACACACCCTGTTTACTCTTCCATTTCAGTGTTCTGGGTCATTTCTAAGGGATGCACCCGAGCTAGATTCTTGCAGTATAGTAATAGACTAAGACACCTAAAGAGCCTCCTGCTAGGGCCCGCGTATGAAATCCCCAGAGTCACTGCTGAGGTCTTGGAGAGGCAATAGACACTTTAGGGGGTGGGTCCTGGCTGGAGGAAGTAGGCTCCTGCGGGCACATCCTTGAGGGCTGTGTTGTTCCAGGCTCTCCTCTGTCTCCCTCTGCTTCCTGGCCACCGTGGCTGAGCCCGGTCCTCACTGTGCTGGACAGAAACCTTTGAAGCCATCAGTCACACCCAACCCTCACTTAAAGTCTGACAGCAGCAGCAAGAAGAGCTAGCCCAATCCCGTATCACTCTCCCAAGAGCTGCCTACTAAGTTGGCAGAGACCAAGACAGTACTTGAGGGTATTAAAAACACGAAAATAAATAATGAAACTGAAAACAGTTGCAATCACCTGGGAGAGAGGTTTTTATAAACAATATAAAATCGTCTTTATTTCAGCTTTCCATGATTACACAGATCTCCCTAAAGTAAACAAGGACAGTACGGCGCACGATGTTTGGGTCCTGCCGGTGCTTTTCTAAGCCGTGATCTGTAGCTCCGCGTGGCACTGATTTTCCAAGGGGCAGAAACGGTCTTTGATTTTTCCAAACCACTTGTCTTCAAATTCTTTGGAGGACGCAATCACCAAGGCAGCCAGGGCTGCGGGGCCAACACACTTCACCTCTGAATGAACTTCATCTTTTAGTTTTTCTGGGACAATATCTTCCCCCATAGCCTGGAATAAGAGAGGAGGGGGCGAGAGTAGCCCAGTTAAAGGGGCAGCAGACACAGAACGGGAGATTATTTACCAGCTGTTTCCACACTCACCCTCCCCGGTAATCAAATCCCTGCATCCTCCGGTGGCAGCTACCCCACCTGGGCTCCTGGGAGCATTGAGTCAACCCTTTCATGTCAGACTGCTCTGTGGCAGCGCACCTGTGGGCTTCTCCCTCTTGGCCAGAGGCTGAGGCTGAAAAGTTAGGGGCAGAGCTTAGGGTACAGTGAGTCTGGACCTGTTTCCTCCGTGTTCTCCCAAAGAAGTCAAAGGCAGCAAAGAATCAAGCAACAAGACACTATGTATACCTCTCACTGACCACAGTCAAGGCTCTCTAGCGCCTTAGCACACTTCTGATAAAGGTACACTACTGCTCCCTCCTGGTCACACTCGAACTGCAGGGACACACTCAAACCCTGGATTCTGGCCTAGTGTCTCTTTGATGAGTGTCTAAAGAGCCTTCATGTACCCCCACTAAGTGGCCCTTTGGCAATGACGGTGATCAGAATGAAGTCCTGACAACTGCCACACTATCCAAAATGAGCATTTACACAGCCTCCAGCAGGGACGCTCACTGTACCAGGAACTGGAGACACTACCATAAGGATCTGCCAACCTTGAGATCTCATGTGGCCATGAAAACCGCAAGTACAGCCAAAGAATGGCTCTTCGTAAACTACATGTTTGTGTGTGTGCACATGTGTGTGGTATATGGCTGCGTGTGCATGTGTGTGTGAGCATATGCACCCTTGCTTGTGCATGCCAAATCCAAATAAAGAATTCTGCTGCCACTCTAGGCCTTCACTCCCTGGAGACAGCCTCTCACTGAGCCTGGCTGCTCTGGCTAGGCTGGCTGGCCAGGAGGCTCTCAGAACCACCTTCTCGTTTCCCAATGCTAGAGTTAATGCATTTGCAAACATGCTTGGTTTACATGGGGATTCGAACTCAGGCCCTCCTGCTTGTGTTATAGCTCTTCTCTGCCAAGCCACCTTCCTAGCCCCAAATAACACATTTTGGAGGTAATTGCCAATGAGATACTGTGTTTACTTATTAAATTTATTTACTAATTCTTAGGGGTTTTTTTTTTATTACTTCAATGCCTCTGAAATCATGAGCTGATATGTCACATTATAAATGGCATAATCTTTCTCTTCCAGTGGCCGATCATAACGATGTCTCTCACAAGTGACATCTCTTGGATTTGATGAAAGTCAGTTTTTATTTATTTAGAGACAGGGTCTCTCTATTTTGTCTTGGTTGGCCTCAAACTCACTCTGTAGACCAGACTAGTCCTGAACTCACAGAGATCCACCTGTCTCTGCCTCTCATATGCTGGAATTAAAGGAATGTAAAACCAGGTCTAGTCTTAAAAGCATTAATGTTAGCCAGGCGTGGAGGCCAGTCTGGTCTACAGAGTAAGTTCCAGGACAGTCTGGTCTACACAGAGAAACTCTATGTCTCAAAAAGCCAAAAGCAAGAGGAGAGGAAAAAAGTCTAGCTTGAGTTCCTGTCCTGACTTCCTTTGATGATGGACAGCAATATAGAAGTGTAAGCCGAATAAACCCTTTCCTCCCCAAGTTGCTCTGGTCATGGGGTTTCCTCACAGCAGTCACTCTAAGGCACTTACCCTCCAAATCTTACTTTAATAACTATTTTCAAAAAGAATACAGGCAATCACATCCACTTAGACTTTAATAACAGTGCTCTCATTAAAGCTGAACTTAGGGTTATAGTTACCATCTACTACAGAAAGTGTATTTATTTCCTATCTATAGAAACAAATTATAAACGCCTCCATTTAAATCTGTGTGTTCACATGGGTGCATGTGTGTACATGTGAAAAAGAGATGTCAACCTTGAGTGTCATTCAATGGGCATCTCTGTCTGGGTTTTTAGACAAAGTCTCTCACTTGGCCTAGAAGCCACATCAGGGCATGCTAGTTGGCAAGCTCCAAGGGTCCGCCTGCCTCTGCCTCCCAGTACAGGCACCACCACACCCACCTATTGTTTTTAATGTGTATTCTGGGAATGAGACAGGAAGAATGCAAAGAGAGAAAGAAGGAGAGAAGGAAGAAAAGCCAGGCACGTGGACATGCATCTGTAGATCTGACTACTCTGGAGGCTGAGGCAGGAAGATCCCTGACCCCTGGACAGCACAGGTTGTCAGGTGACTTCACACAGCAACACAAAGAGGAATAACACCTGGCAACGACAACAAATACACAGTGTTTCTTAAAGGAACGAAGTCAGATGCACACAGGTGGAGAGAAGCACTCTCATGGGAGAAGCACTGATGTCGAGCTGAGGGCCAAGTGGACAGGTGTCCATAGCTATTCTAACTAGCGGACAGGTGTCCATAGCTACTCTAACTAGCGGACAGGTATCCACAGCTACTCTAACTAGCGGACAGGTGTCCACGGCTACTCTAACTAGCGG